CGGAAATATTTCCTGCCTTAAAAACTCAATCAAAATCGACAGACAATAACTGAATTTATTAAGAGTTTGGATTATTATAACTTTTCTTGGAATCCAATTGACTGACAAGTGCTTATTTTAGAAGCACGGGTTTCGAACTTTTCCAACTTGCAATGCAAAAGAAGTATGTGTGATAAATCCCCCACTAATTCAGACAAAAATGTTATTTCCCCCCAACCCAAACGGAGACCAATAATTCGAGATGCTTTTTTTCTTCTTCTTTTGAATGTCCATTTTGGTGCTTTATAGCACAAGTCATATTCAAGACTTCAATACTATCTGTTTTATATTTGCACTCCTTTCTTTCCTCTCTTTTCAAGTGTCGCTGTTTTGAAAGTTACATGTACCACTAAAAAAACAATTATAATTATATGTGGCCCTTAGCCTCTCAAATTTGCTTTCAAAACAAAGAGGAGCAGAAGATCCTACATCTAGTTTTAATATGTTGATGTGTTTGTTTCTATAGGAGCAAATAGTTGCAGACGTGAGTTTGGTTAATTGATAGGGGAGTGAGTTCACTCTATTCACCAAAATTCGAATAATTCGTATAAATTACATTAATTTAGAGTAATTTAAACTATACAAATTTGAATAAAAGGATTGAATTTTTACAAAGACAAAGTCAAAACACAAAAACGAAAAAGGAAAAAGATTGGACCGACTTGGTCCTTATCTTGCACGAAATCGTTGTGATGGTATGGGAGGGAAGAGTGGAAAGTCTCAAAGTCAAGGGATTGAATTGATATATCTTAATTTCCGGTTTGATAATTAAGAAAATAAAATAAAACAGATAATCCTCTCCCTGTTTTTCTGGCAGGGAACACGTGTTGGGATATGAGTGACGATAATCTAGAGATTTTTTTTTCTTTCTATACAAGCGATGTTGTGAAAAGCGAATTTTTCCACGTGTACTGTCAATGTGTTATTGGGTACTTTGCTGTAAATCCAGATCCTATTTCACTGGACTCATTCCGTTGGCACGATAATCCAGAGGTTTATCTCCCCTGCGATGATATGCTCATGCATGATTACGTGGAACACTGGAGGGTTAGTAGCTTTGTCTCCAGTTTTGATGGCGTTCATGAATTAAATTGTTATTTTCTCGCTGGCAATTTGCTTGAAGGGCTCGGCTCCAGTATGGCGGCTAAATCTTTGACGGCTAAAGGATTTGCTTATTTGGTTAATTTCATAAATATAACCAATTAGATTTAATTTATCTGTATTTTAAACTTTATATTTTAGGAAAATTACAGCATGAATAGTTTTCTTTATGGTAACGACAGCCTCACTGCTTGAGATTTAAGTGTGTTTCCTTATATACCCTTCGGTAATTTTCAATCCAAAAAGATCCTTGTTCATTTATTGCAAGTTTAATAAATCCACTTGTATTAGTAGTTAAAGCATACTTTAAAAGGTAAATTACATTTTTCGTCACTGGAGTAAGGGTTAAATTTAATTTTGGTCACCGTATTTGTAGCTGTTAGCAAATCAAGTTATTTCATTAATTAAAAAATATTTTTTAAATATTAATCTTGCCAAATGATCAATTAGATGTCACTACAAATTTGATTTATCCAATCTTAAGCACCAAATAAGTTCAGTGGGAGCCGAGCTGATTAGCCAAGCCAGAGTATATTATTGCACAATGAATTTCCACAACTGCCTTCCCAAAAATTAATTATCTTGACGTAGACCTTACCATCAAACTCATCTCCGGTACGTCCGATCACACCAACGAATAAGTTTCTTCAATCTCCACCGTCCCAGCCGAAACCTCCCAAACAAGGTGTCACCCCTATCACCACTCCATCAACCATCCAAATTCCGCCACGTCACCAAACGCACACCAATCACCGGCTCCTCGTCCTTCCCGCTCCCTCCCAGGACCACATACTTATCAAATCCCAAATCGAAACCGTCAACACCCCGGGGCCCACCGAAATCAACGCCCCAGATTGACCGCTGCGATTTCGCTGAACATAACGTTATAAATTCCCATGAAACGCGCTAAAGTTTTTCTCTCTCTTTCTATTTCGTTTCCTTTTCCTCTCCTTTTGCGTTTCTTCGAGCGAATCGAATTCCCGGATCAATTCCACGCCCTCTCTCTCCGTCGCTCGCTCTCAATCTCCACCGTCGATCCGTAATCCATGTCGACGGCGGAGATGGAGCAGCTGACCTCCGGAGCCAGCAACCGCATCATCCCGCTCCTCAAAACCCTAAGGACGGTTCTTCTCTTCGTCCATACCTTCTTTCTCTCCCTGCTCCTCTTCATCCTCCCCCGTCGTCGCCGCCGCGGAATATCGGAATCGCTCCTCGACGCGCCGTCGTCGAAGAAGCGGAAGTCGGCGTGGAAGAGAGAGGAGGAGGACACTCTCAGGCGGAGAGCGTTGGCCGAGTGCTATAGCACCGGAGACGGGCACTGCCCCTACCGTTCGGCGACCTTCTTGTTCTTCGGCGGTAGAAACAACGCCCTCTTCTGCCGGTCGTGGGTTCCGGTCTCCGGTACACCGAGGTAAAATTCTCATTGTTTCTATTTTATATCTATTATTGGTTTTGTTTTCTTGAAATTTTTTTTATGGTTAAATTTTCTGAATCCGTGCACTGCGTCGTTAAGTTTGTTTTAAACTAAAATAAGTAGCCAATTTTTTTTTTTTCCTTGGGGAAAATATGCACATAGTAGTCGTTTTTGTTTTGCTGATAAAATTGTGGCGCACCAGGGAGTTACAGTAGAGGAAAGGAATAAGGGGCTGTGGTGCTGATTTTGTGTGTTTTTACCTTCGTCGCTTCTCTTGCATGTACAGTTTGGGTTCCTTGTTGCTTCTATTCTGTATGGTCTTCACAAATTTGTTCTCGTTGTCCCAACTCTTGAGTACTTTTGCTCTGTAATTTCAGGGGCATTTTGATCATCATACATGGGCTTAATGAGCATAGGTGAATTGTTCAGGAGCTTTTTTTTCTTCTTCTTCATTTGATTGTTTTTTTTCCTTTTTCAAGTGAAGTTTTTTTAAATATGTATTTTTTGTTCACCTTTGTTTTCAGTGGAAGATATGCTGATTTTGCTAGGCAACTAACGTCCTGCAACTTTGGGGTATACGCAATGGACTGGATAGGTAGCTACATTTTTAAGATTGTAGTCATTTTGGCTCTTTCACTTTTTGTAGTTCAAAATGAACATCAATACTGTTAAAGTCAGGAAGAGATTTATACCAGAGAGTTCCAACTCGCCTTCTTCCCTTACCTTCTGAGTCCAATGGAAGAACGTTTCCCAGACGTATGCAATAGATGCTTATGATAGAAAACATGAACATGGCTACTCAATTCTCAATGATTTCATAGGTTGTTAGGTTACATTTATATTAATGTATTGTTCTGTTTGTGGTAGGTCATGGTGGCAGCGATGGATTGCATGGATACGTCCCTGCACTTGACTATGTTGTTGCTGATACTGTAAGTTTAGCAGCAAATTTTCCGTTCTATTATAAATCATGAAATTTCATTCAACTCAGCATGAGTATCCCCTCATCGCAATATATAGGATTTTCTGTATGAACATAGTATCTATAGACGATGGTGGGAGCATAGTTTTCTCTCATTTCTTGTACTTTTGGTTCCAAGTGTCTCTTTTCTTTTGAACCCCATTATGGTGGTGACCCTGAAGCTTGACAGTTTGATCCTTTTTTAATAGGTAGCTTTCTTGGAAAAGATTAGGTTAGAGAACCCTGGAGTACCATGCTTCCTCTTTGGTCACTCAACGGGAGGAGCTGTTGTTTTGAAGGTATGCCATAAAATAATGTACTGAGCATCCAGCTTCATTGATTTTGAATTCATCGTTAAAATTGTTGAACCTTTGTGTAGGCGGCATATTCCCCTCAAATTGAAGGAATGGTAGAGGGCATTGTGCTGACATCACCAGCTTTGCGTGTTAAGCCAGCACATCCAATTGTTGGGGTATGTTCTTTACTGCCTTACAGGCTATGTATATTGATGCTTCATCTTTTAGGCAATTTTATCTTCCCCAAGAACTCCTTTAAGATGTGTTAAACTCATAATAATTTATGTTCTGGTTAGGGTTGTTCATAAGTGTCATCTGATGTTTGATTGCGTTTCCACCATTGATTCATGGTTACATATTACAAACTTTTCTCTGATTGTAATCTAGGCTGTGGCTCCAATTGTCTCTTTGGTTGCTCCCAAGTTCCAGTTTAAAGGGGCAAACAAGAGGGGTATTCCAGTGTCAAGGGATCCTGCAGCATTGTTGGCCAAGTATTCTGATCCCCTGGTCTATACTGGCCCGATAAGGGTCCGAACAGGCTATGAGATATTGCGAATCTCCACTCATTTGACACGGAACTTTAAGTTTGTGAGCGTCCCCTTCTTTGTTCTGCATGGAACTGCTGATAGAGTCACTGATCCACTAGCCTCCCAAGATCTCTATAATGAGGCAGCATCAGAGTTCAAAGATATAAAGCTCTATGATGGTTTCTTACACGACCTTCTCTTCGAGCCGGAACGTGAAGAGATTGCACAGGATATAATAAATTGGATGGAGAAGAGATTGCGCAGGATATAATAAATTGGATGGAGACGAGATTGAGGGGGTTGGCGTGGAAGATGTTTACTTCACATAATTCTTCACCCACCCGGACTCCATCAGAAAAAAAAAAGAAAAAAAGAAAAAAGAAATTGAAAATTTACCCAAGTTGGAGGGGGATCCACTTTTTTAGAAGCAGTTAGGCCATATATTACATTTAGATTTTGAAAGTTATTTACGTGTTTTGTGGTTTGCTTGTCATCGTCAAAATCTGTATTTAATAGACGAATTCAATTGACAGGGTGGCTTGTGATCATTCTGGTTATATATTATAGATGAATGTTCATCTTGGCCGAAAGCTATTGTTTCGTATTTTTTTTCTTACCTGTGGTACTTTTTGTCGAAACCTTGTTTAATTCTCATTCTTTAATATTGCTTGTATAAAACATTATTGTAAAATATAACTTGAAATAAAAAATTCAATTATTAAACATACTACAATGCTGTAGTCTTGGAATTACTTACATAATATATAAACACACCAACACAAAAATATTAGCAAACAACAATTATTGTTACCCAGTGGTAGGTAGAAGGGTATGCTCCATCATCTTCTCTGCCATCAATTGAAGAGAAGAGTCAAGGTATGAACGAAAATCATTCAATCCCCACCCTTCAATCGGATCGCAAACAAACGACCACTCGATCTTGCACCCAATGCTGCCATCTCCGCCGTTGATCGGGACTAGTTGCATAACCGCAACATACGACTTAAACCCGAGATTGCTCTCAATAATCTCATAGCTCAAACACCGTTGGATTGGATCAAGGGACAGTAGCTTCTCTTTGGCCCACTTGATGGTGGACTCATCATTATCAATAGGAGCACGGGCGCAGTACCGGATCAGACCCGGTTGGCCAGGGACGCCATCGACTTGGTAACACGTGGCAATATCGGGGAACCACTTGTGTAAGCTGCAGAAATCGGCCAGGAGAGGCCAAACTTGTTCAGCTGATGAGCCTTGAAGATCAGCAGAGGCTTTGCCTTCCCATTTGGACTTTGGAATTTGATCTTCTGCCATGAGAAAGAAACAAATGGAAAGAATGGAGAGCGTGAAAATGAGAAAGTTGAGTTGAGTGGTAGCTCATCAGAATTTGGTAATTTACAACCACAAAAGTCCAAAGATTCTTTTTGTATTTTTATTTTTTTGATTCCCATATGTGATATGTGTTGAGTGGAGTGGAATGGAAGCTGGCAACCTCATCAATATTAATTGGCGCCCAAGTGGGAATGTCATGATTGTGTCCCCTGTTTAGGTTAAGTGTCGGTGCGCTGGATTGTTCTAGGTGATAGATTGAAAATACGAAAGAAAATCTTCCAATCTCCATCCCTTAGCCGGATCACAAACAAACGACCACTCAATCCTGCACCCACTGATGTCGTTTATGAGCACTACTTGCATTGTTGCAACATATGCGACTTGAACCCCATGTTGTTCTACAGCATCTCATAGCTCATAGCTTCTCCTTGACTTGACCCACCTGAAGCTGGTCTCATCAGCAGGATCAGTAGGAGGAATGACCAAAACAACCTCATGTTTTATGTGCATATAGTTTTTTGACAAAGCGATATATTCCAAACCATACTATAATTTACAGAAAGAGGAATGACCTTGGGTACAAGATCATAGTCAACTGCCCTAACCCACATTTACTAATACTATAATTTATTGATAAGTGGCACATGCTTTTTTATTAATAAATTCATAAACATACTACAAGTCAATAATAATACACATAAAAGTAATATACCAACAAATAAAGACTAATTAAGCCGAGTCAATTAACGTTGATCAGCTAGTAGAAAGAAGAGCATGCTCCATTGTTTTTGCTACCAACGGGAGAGAAGACTCAAGAAAATCAAGAAGGTTTTCCAACCTCCATCCATCAACCGGATCACAAACAACCCACCACTCGATCTTGCACCCAAGAACGACATCATGATGAATGTCGTTTATGGGCACTACTTGCATGGTACCAACATATGAGTGAAATCCCATGTTGTTTTCAAGGATCTCATAGCTCAAACACCGTTTGATTGGATCTATCATCAGTAGCTTCTCCTTGACCCACTTGATGGTCGTCTGATCATCAGGATCCGCAGGGGGAGTTGCGCAGTACCGGATCAGACCCGGCTGGCCAAGAACTCCCCCGACTTGATAACATGTCTCAAGTTTGGGGAACCACTTGTGTAGGTTGCAGAAATCAGCCAAGAGAGGCCAAACTTGCTCAGCTGCTGGACCTTTTAGGTCAGCAGAGGTTCTGCCTTCCCATTTTGGCTGTGTTTGTTCTTGCATGTGAGAGCTTAGCTAGGGAAACAAAGATCACATCAATGGATAATTAGAAGCTAGAGAACATGCATGTATTTATAACAAGGTTTCTCTAATTCAACCACAAAAGGTTATATATTTATACAGGTGAGTGAGGTGATGAAATGGAAAGTTGACTTGACTAAAAGAAGAAGGTGATTATGTTTACCAAAAACAATCTCGCCATTTATATTCAAATGCTTTGATTGAGTGATTGATGGCAAGTGGGAAAATTATTATAATTTTGGTATGATCGAGTCTCTGATCCTCAAATGTCACCAATTATTTACTCTCTCTCTCTCTCTCTCTCTCTTCTTCTTCTTCTTCTTCTTCTTCTTCTTCTTTGACTTGAGCAATTATTTTATGTAAAACCAGCCTTAAACATACAGATGTTGATTAAATAATTGGACTGACTTCTTGGGGGGCACCTCAGGACTATCAGTGTCCAGCGATGCCTTGTATGACAAGCCTATACATAAATAACTGAGTCAAGTCTCATCTGCTGGCAATTTAAATTTCTTATATTGAGCTTTTTCCTTCTAGAATGTGAAGTCACATTGATGGTAGATATTCAAACATCAGGTAATTGGATCAATCATCAGTATATTCTCTTTGACTTAATTACTTGACGGTGGTGATGATCGTATCATCTTCAGGATCAGTAGGAGGAGTGGCGCATCCAGTACCTGATCAAACCCGGTTGGCCAAACTCTTGTTCAGCTGCTGGCGCTTCGAGCGGAGCAGAGGTTTTGCCTTCTCACTTTGACTGTTGGTGCTTGCATCAGATCAACTAGGCGGCAGAATAAGTGACGTGTACCTTTGTAAGGTTTCTCTGCCTCAACAACAAAAATCATAGGGATGACAATTTTACTTGCCTTACAGGGTTCAACACTACAACCTTTATATAACTTATAGGGGGTGCTAAAGATGTTTTATGTGCCATGTGTCAGAATACGTATAGCCACGCGGTTATACTATTTTTTTTAAAACAAGTATGGCCGCCCGGCTATACTATTCAAATACATTATATTTAAACGGTATAGCCGCGCGGCTATACGATTTAATAAATAAAAAATTAAGAAAAAAGCACCCTCCTAATTTCATTAATTTATACTTTATATATATTAATTTTTCTAATTTTAAACTAAGGACGGTTCTTCTCTTCGTCCATACCTTCTTTCTCTCCCTGCTCCTCTTCATCCTCCCCCGTCGTCGCCGCCGCGGAATATCGGAATCGCTCCTCGACGCGCCGTCGTCGAAGAAGCGGAAGTCGGCGTGGAAGAGAGAGGAGGAGGACACTCTCAGGCGGAGAGCGTTGGCCGAGTGCTATAGCACCGGAGACGGGCACTGCCCCTACCGTTCGGCGACCTTCTTGTTCTTCGGCGGTAGAAACAACGCCCTCTTCTGCCGGTCGTGGGTTCCGGTCTCCGGTACACCGAGGTAAAATTCTCATTGTTTCTATTTTATATCTATTATTGGTTTTGTTTTCTTGAAATTTTTTTTATGGTTAAATTTTCTGAATCCGTGCACTGCGTCGTTAAGTTTGTTTTAAACTAAAATAAGTAGCCAATTTTTTTTTTTTCCTTGGGGAAAATATGCACATAGTAGTCGTTTTTGTTTTGCTGATAAAATTGTGGCGCACCAGGGAGTTACAGTAGAGGAAAGGAATAAGGGGCTGTGGTGCTGATTTTGTGTGTTTTTACCTTCGTCGCTTCTCTTGCATGTACAGTTTGGGTTCCTTGTTGCTTCTATTCTGTATGGTCTTCACAAATTTGTTCTCGTTGTCCCAACTCTTGAGTACTTTTGCTCTGTAATTTCAGGGGCATTTTGATCATCATACATGGGCTTAATGAGCATAGGTGAATTGTTCAGGAGCTTTTTTTTCTTCTTCTTCATTTGATTGTTTTTTTTCCTTTTTCAAGTGAAGTTTTTTTAAATATGTATTTTTTGTTCACCTTTGTTTTCAGTGGAAGATATGCTGATTTTGCTAGGCAACTAACGTCCTGCAACTTTGGGGTATACGCAATGGACTGGATAGGTAGCTACATTTTTAAGATTGTAGTCATTTTGGCTCTTTCACTTTTTGTAGTTCAAAATGAACATCAATACTGTTAAAGTCAGGAAGAGATTTATACCAGAGAGTTCCAACTCGCCTTCTTCCCTTACCTTCTGAGTCCAATGGAAGAACGTTTCCCAGACGTATGCAATAGATGCTTATGATAGAAAACATGAACATGGCTACTCAATTCTCAATGATTTCATAGGTTGTTAGGTTACATTTATATTAATGTATTGTTCTGTTTGTGGTAGGTCATGGTGGCAGCGATGGATTGCATGGATACGTCCCTGCACTTGACTATGTTGTTGCTGATACTGTAAGTTTAGCAGCAAATTTTCCGTTCTATTATAAATCATGAAATTTCATTCAACTCAGCATGAGTATCCCCTCATCGCAATATATAGGATTTTCTGTATGAACATAGTATCTATAGACGATGGTGGGAGCATAGTTTTCTCTCATTTCTTGTACTTTTGGTTCCAAGTGTCTCTTTTCTTTTGAACCCCATTATGGTGGTGACCCTGAAGCTTGACAGTTTGATCCTTTTTTAATAGGTAGCTTTCTTGGAAAAGATTAGGTTAGAGAACCCTGGAGTACCATGCTTCCTCTTTGGTCACTCAACGGGAGGAGCTGTTGTTTTGAAGGTATGCCATAAAATAATGTACTGAGCATCCAGCTTCATTGATTTTGAATTCATCGTTAAAATTGTTGAACCTTTGTGTAGGCGGCATATTCCCCTCAAATTGAAGGAATGGTAGAGGGCATTGTGCTGACATCACCAGCTTTGCGTGTTAAGCCAGCACATCCAATTGTTGGGGTATGTTCTTTACTGCCTTACAGGCTATGTATATTGATGCTTCATCTTTTAGGCAATTTTATCTTCCCCAAGAACTCCTTTAAGATGTGTTAAACTCATAATAATTTATGTTCTGGTTAGGGTTGTTCATAAGTGTCATCTGATGTTTGATTGCGTTTCCACCATTGATTCATGGTTACATATTACAAACTTTTCTCTGATTGTAATCTAGGCTGTGGCTCCAATTGTCTCTTTGGTTGCTCCCAAGTTCCAGTTTAAAGGGGCAAACAAGAGGGGTATTCCAGTGTCAAGGGATCCTGCAGCATTGTTGGCCAAGTATTCTGATCCCCTGGTCTATACTGGCCCGATAAGGGTCCGAACAGGCTATGAGATATTGCGAATCTCCACTCATTTGACACGGAACTTTAAGTTTGTGAGCGTCCCCTTCTTTGTTCTGCATGGAACTGCTGATAGAGTCACTGATCCACTAGCCTCCCAAGATCTCTATAATGAGGCAGCATCAGAGTTCAAAGATATAAAGCTCTATGATGGTTTCTTACACGACCTTCTCTTCGAGCCGGAACGTGAAGAGATTGCACAGGATATAATAAATTGGATGGAGAAGAGATTGCGCAGGATATAATAAATTGGATGGAGACGAGATTGAGGGGGTTGGCGTGGAAGATGTTTACTTCACATAATTCTTCACCCACCCGGACTCCATCAGAAAAAAAAAAGAAAAAAAGAAAAAAGAAATTGAAAATTTACCCAAGTTGGAGGGGGATCCACTTTTTTAGAAGCAGTTAGGCCATATATTACATTTAGATTTTGAAAGTTATTTACGTGTTTTGTGGTTTGCTTGTCATCGTCAAAATCTGTATTTAATAGACGAATTCAATTGACAGGGTGGCTTGTGATCATTCTGGTTATATATTATAGATGAATGTTCATCTTGGCCGAAAGCTATTGTTTCGTATTTTTTTTCTTACCTGTGGTACTTTTTGTCGAAACCTTGTTTAATTCTCATTCTTTAATATTGCTTGTATAAAACATTATTGTAAAATATAACTTGAAATAAAAAATTCAATTATTAAACATACTACAATGCTGTAGTCTTGGAATTACTTACATAATATATAAACACACCAACACAAAAATATTAGCAAACAACAATTATTGTTACCCAGTGGTAGGTAGAAGGGTATGCTCCATCATCTTCTCTGCCATCAATTGAAGAGAAGAGTCAAGGTATGAACGAAAATCATTCAATCCCCACCCTTCAATCGGATCGCAAACAAACGACCACTCGATCTTGCACCCAATGCTGCCATCTCCGCCGTTGATCGGGACTAGTTGCATAACCGCAACATACGACTTAAACCCGAGATTGCTCTCAATAATCTCATAGCTCAAACACCGTTGGATTGGATCAAGGGACAGTAGCTTCTCTTTGGCCCACTTGATGGTGGACTCATCATTATCAATAGGAGCACGGGCGCAGTACCGGATCAGACCCGGTTGGCCAGGGACGCCATCGACTTGGTAACACGTGGCAATATCGGGGAACCACTTGTGTAAGCTGCAGAAATCGGCCAGGAGAGGCCAAACTTGTTCAGCTGATGAGCCTTGAAGATCAGCAGAGGCTTTGCCTTCCCATTTGGACTTTGGAATTTGATCTTCTGCCATGAGAAAGAAACAAATGGAAAGAATGGAGAGCGTGAAAATGAGAAAGTTGAGTTGAGTGGTAGCTCATCAGAATTTGGTAATTTACAACCACAAAAGTCCAAAGATTCTTTTTGTATTTTTATTTTTTTGATTCCCATATGTGATATGTGTTGAGTGGAGTGGAATGGAAGCTGGCAACCTCATCAATATTAATTGGCGCCCAAGTGGGAATGTCATGATTGTGTCCCCTGTTTAGGTTAAGTGTCGGTGCGCTGGATTGTTCTAGGTGATAGATTGAAAATACGAAAGAAAATCTTCCAATCTCCATCCCTTAGCCGGATCACAAACAAACGACCACTCAATCCTGCACCCACTGATGTCGTTTATGAGCACTACTTGCATTGTTGCAACATATGCGACTTGAACCCCATGTTGTTCTACAGCATCTCATAGCTCATAGCTTCTCCTTGACTTGACCCACCTGAAGCTGGTCTCATCAGCAGGATCAGTAGGAGGAATGACCAAAACAACCTCATGTTTTATGTGCATATAGTTTTTTGACAAAGCGATATATTCCAAACCATACTATAATTTACAGAAAGAGGAATGACCTTGGGTACAAGATCATAGTCAACTGCCCTAACCCACATTTACTAATACTATAATTTATTGATAAGTGGCACATGCTTTTTTATTAATAAATTCATAAACATACTACAAGTCAATAATAATACACATAAAAGTAATATACCAACAAATAAAGACTAATTAAGCCGAGTCAATTAACGTTGATCAGCTAGTAGAAAGAAGAGCATGCTCCATTGTTTTTGCTACCAACGGGAGAGAAGACTCAAGAAAATCAAGAAGGTTTTCCAACCTCCATCCATCAACCGGATCACAAACAACCCACCACTCGATCTTGCACCCAAGAACGACATCATGATGAATGTCGTTTATGGGCACTACTTGCATGGTACCAACATATGAGTGAAATCCCATGTTGTTTTCAAGGATCTCATAGCTCAAACACCGTTTGATTGGATCTATCATCAGTAGCTTCTCCTTGACCCACTTGATGGTCGTCTGATCATCAGGATCCGCAGGGGGAGTTGCGCAGTACCGGATCAGACCCGGCTGGCCAAGAACTCCCCCGACTTGATAACATGTCTCAAGTTTGGGGAACCACTTGTGTAGGTTGCAGAAATCAGCCAAGAGAGGCCAAACTTGCTCAGCTGCTGGACCTTTTAGGTCAGCAGAGGTTCTGCCTTCCCATTTTGGCTGTGTTTGTTCTTGCATGTGAGAGCTTAGCTAGGGAAACAAAGATCACATCAATGGATAATTAGAAGCTAGAGAACATGCATGTATTTATAACAAGGTTTCTCTAATTCAACCACAAAAGGTTATATATTTATACAGGTGAGTGAGGTGATGAAATGGAAAGTTGACTTGACTAAAAGAAGAAGGTGATTATGTTTACCAAAAACAATCTCGCCATTTATATTCAAATGCTTTGATTGAGTGATTGATGGCAAGTGGGAAAATTATTATAATTTTGGTATGATCGAGTCTCTGATCCTCAAATGTCACCAATTATTTACTCTCTCTCTCTCTCTCTCTCTCTTCTTCTTCTTCTTCTTCTTCTTTGACTTGAGCAATTATTTTATGTAAAACCAGCCTTAAACATACAGATGTTGATTAAATAATTGGACTGACTTCTTGGGGGGCACCTCAGGACTATCAGTGTCCAGCGATGCCTTGTATGACAAGCCTATACATAAATAACTGAGTCAAGTCTCATCTGCTGGCAATTTAAATTTCTTATATTGAGCTTTTTCCTTCTAGAATGTGAAGTCACATTGATGGTAGATATTCAAACATCAGGTAATTGGATCAATCATCAGTATATTCTCTTTGACTTAATTACTTGACGGTGGTGATGATCGTATCATCTTCAGGATCAGTAGGAGGAGTGGCGCATCCAGTACCTGATCAAACCCGGTTGGCCAAACTCTTGTTCAGCTGCTGGCGCTTCGAGCGGAGCAGAGGTTTTGCCTTCTCACTTTGACTGTTGGTGCTTGCATCAGATCAACTAGGCGGCAGAATAAGTGACGTGTACCTTTGTAAGGTTTCTCTGCCTCAACAACAAAAATCATAGGGATGACAATTTTACTTGCCTTACAGGGTTCAACACTACAACCTTTATATAACTTATAGGGGGTGCTAAAGATGTTTTATGTGCCATGTGTCAGAATACGTATAGCCACGCGGTTATACTATTTTTTTTAAAACAAGTATGGCCGCCCGGCTATACTATTCAAATACATTATATTTAAACGGTATAGCCGCGCGGCTATACGATTTAATAAATAAAAAATTAAGAAAAAAGCACCCTCCTAATTTCATTAATTTATACTTTATATATATTAATTTTTCTAGTTTCAACAAATCTAAAATAGATACTAATTGGTCACTATATAATTTTTTAAATATATATTATTTTTATTCAATAATATGTGAGAATTATTTGTATAATACATGAATTTTGTGTGTCTTATTGAAAATGTTGTAAAATATATTAAACATAAGAAATACGTACATACATGTACAATGTGAGTATTGTACATTTACTTTTTTTTTTTTTTTTAAACCTTGAATTTTACTGAGTCTTTAAGACGTGTACATAACACAAATGTATTATTGAAAAATATGTACATACGTGTATAATAGAGTATTAAATGTGAAAGTGCTAAATTCTTTATATATGTAATAAATAGAGTATTAAACGTGAAAGTACTAAACCCTACGTGTATGTAAAGAGTATAGCCGCTCGCAGTGAAGGACCCAGGATTGGAATTCCGTGGGGTCATAGTGTAAATGTTCCAAAGAAAATTTAAGAATAGGTTTTTTACTCCACACACACTCTCTCTCTCTCCCGATTTTCCCCTCTGCGTTAAACCCATTCCCGTGTTACTGTTCACCGAGACGGAAACCGTCACCCAGCCGCCACATCCGACCACCTCAGCCCTCGAGACAGGTCCCGTTCGACTCTTCGTGAAGTTCCGATCAAGACCCACCCAATTTCCATGCCGGAAAACCCGAGAATCGTCGACGGTATCGACTGGTTTGAACCGGAGTTTTCCGATCGTTGCGCAGCCGCCTCCGCCGTCCGTTTCAGGTAAAATTGGTGAGGTTTCTTCTCCTTTTTACGTGTTCTAGCTGACTGTTGTTTAGGTTTGGATCGATTTTGAGATTAGGAACCAATTTGTAGAGTTAGGTTTTGGCCGGTTTTCATTGTAAAAATCCGGCCACTTGCCGTCCAAATTGGACTTTCCCGTAGTTGAAAAAGATGCTCCATTCGTTGAGTAGTATCTAGGATTAGAAGGGTGGCTTGTGATTTAGAGATTTTCCGTCGCCGGATATTTCTCTACACACCCACGCGCTGCTAGCACGTGTGGCGGCACGTGAGGAAGGGTAGTGAAGCTGCAATACGACCCAATGAGATCCTTAGGTTGTCACGAGTGCGTAGGATTTCGCGGATCTCAATTCGGATGTTGTTTGACTATCGAACGGATTTCGCATATTGTGCGTTATCTGGGTTCGATAAGTTCTAACCGTTAGATCGTTTCCAATTGAAGTATGTTGATCTAGGTACTCTTAGAATCCTATAGGAATTCGCAGATCGTGAATCGGAGCCCCGGATGTTCTGATTCAATAATTCAAAGTTTGTGGGATTAGCGATAACCATACGATTGGAAGCGATTCCCAAACCTGTAATCGGACCTTAGGATATTCCATTGGACGTACACGCACTGGAAACTTGGGGATTTAAGTATGCTCTTTTGTGAATTCCCGTTTTGAAGTGTATTATATTAATCAAGGGTTCGTATCTCGAAATATGTACTTCGATTGATCATACGTAGCAGGCAGGACCCTCTCGGGGCCGGGCAGCTTGGGATTACCTGTGAGTGGACTTTGTTTTAAGCATACGCATGGTTTTATTGATAAAATATTTGTGCATATGTTTTAAATGGTGATTATGATTTAATAATTATTTGGTTGATGGATTTGGATATTCTTATACGTATTGGCAATATATTTTGGGTATGGATATATTTGAGTATTATGAATATGTTTATATGGATTTTGGGATGTCTATCTATATTGCCTATGTATAGAGTATGGTATAGTGTATGAGAGGTTGTTGTGGTGAGATTGTGGAAAGATATGAGTTTGAGGAATGGTTGTGAGATGTACGCGTATGTTAGGTGACTACCATTCCCCAGTTACTAGGCTTCTCACACATGTCGTTGGCAGTGCCGGTGGGGTGGGAAGGCCATGAGATTGAGGGTCTCACACGTGTCGTTGGCAGTGCCGGCGTGTGAGACACTTCCCATACGTGTCGTTGGCAGTGCCGGCGTATGGGAAGAGTATGTATATTGCTTAGTATTATCACACACGTCGTTGGTAGTGCCGATGGGGTGATGATACCGTTTGCGCGTGTAGGACTTGTTATGAGATATGTGAGCTACATGTGTCGTTGGCAGTGCCGGCGTGTGAGCTATGGAGTTCCGTCCCCCGGTTGGACTACTCGGACTATGGGATTATGTGTTTTAAGTATTTGGTTTATGAATTGTGAAACTGCATGCTAGAGCATTATTTTTACACGGTGGGGTTATTATGTTGATTTAAACGCAAACTTTATTTTTGTCCACTCACATATTTCTGTTTTGCGTCGTCCAGGCAGTAGTTGCTCTTGGAAGCGTTCGAGCAGAGTACGAGCTCAAATCGTTCCATCTGTAGATAGGACTTGTGTAAATTCCTTCTACTCAACTGTTTGTTGTAAACTAATTCTGTTAGATGCTCTGTTATCGCCCATGTTAGGTTGTTACTTGAGGCTGGAGGCCACTTTAGTTTGGATTGTTGTATGTTAAAAGCATGCTGGCAGTTGAGATTTATATTATGTAAATTATGCAGGTTGAATGTTGTTGGGTTTGAGCATTTTACAGGGGAGACTCTGCCAAAATTTTGGTAGGATGCCTCAGGGTATTAGTAAGCGGGCCCGGCATCGGGGAGATGTCGGCACCAATACGGGGTCCGCCCCAGGTTTGGGGGAAATTCCGGAGCGGGTCCTGTCAAAAAGTCCTTTATTATTTTCAATTTCTTTTATCTCTAAATTTTATTTCTAATGATATATGGTAGTAACTTTCATTTATATGACCTTTATTCCTAATCAATAACATTCAATCCGTTGTAGCCCGATAAAATAGATTGAGTTATATGCCAAGTAATTTTCATTTATAGAAATTTTAATTTCAGTCAATAACATCCAATCCATTGTCGCCCAATAAAATGGATTGAGTTTATCATCCGGGTTCGACTCCCGGCAGTGGAAAAACCTTTCACTATTTTCAATTTCTTTTATCTCTAAATTTTATGTCTAAGGATATATGCCTAGTAATTTTCTTTTGTATAACTTTTATTCCCAATCAATAACATCCAATCCACTGTAGCCCAATAAATGGATTGAGTTTATCATCCGGGTTCGACTCCCGGCAGCGGAAAAGTCTTTTATTATTTTCAATTTCTTTTATCTCTGAATTTTATGCCTAATGATATATGCCTTCTAATTTTCATTTATATAAATTTTATTCCCAGTCGATAACATCCAATCCGTTGTAGCCCAATAAAATGGATTGAGTTTATCATCCGGGTTTGACTCCCGACAGCGGAAAAACCTTTCACTATTTTCAATTTCTTTTTTCTCTGAATTTTATGCCTAATGATATATGCCTAGTAATTTTCTTTTATGTAACTTTTATTCCCAATCAATAACATCCAATCCGCTGTAGCCCAATAAAATGGATTGAGTTTATCATCCGGGTTTGACTCCCGGAAACGAAAAAGTCTTTTATTATTTTCAATTTATTTTATCTCTGAATTTTATGCCTAGTAATTTTCATTTATATAAATTTTATTCCCAGTCAATAACATCCAATCCGTTGTAGCCCAATAAAATGGATTGAGTTTATCATCCGGTTTCGACTCCCAGCAGTGGAAATCCTTTTATTATTTTAAATTTCTTTTATCCCCAAATTTTATGCCTAATGATATATGCCTAGTAATTTTCATTGATGTTACTTTTGTTTCCAAACAATAACATCTCATCCGTTGTAGCCCAAAAAAATCCAAAACACCCAAAATGGGGGCTTAAATTATAAAAAAATCCAACACCCAAAACACTTTATAAACACACCAAAAATCCATCATTACACACACTCAAAAACTATGTATAAACACACTCAAAAAATATACAATTGTTGATTTTGGGGTTGATTTTAGGTGTGTTTCTATGTTTAAATAGTGTTTGAGATTTTTTATAAATACATGTCTAAGATTGGGTTTATTTATAAATTTGTATTGAGTTTATCATCCGGGTTAGACTCCGGGCAGCGGAAAAACCTTTTACTATTTGCAATTTCTTTTAACTTTGAATTTTATGCCTTGTAATTTTCTTTTATATAACTTTTATACAAATTTATAAATAAACTCAATCCTAGACATGTATTTATAAAAAAAACCAAGCACTATTTAAACATAGAGACACACCCAAAATCAACCACAAAGTCAACTTTTTGGGTGTGTTTATAAATGGATTTTGAGTGTGTGTAATGATGAGTTTTGGGTGTGTTTATATGTTTCAATAGTGCTTGGGTTTTTTTATAATTTCAACCCCCATTTTGGGTGTTTTAGTGAAACTCCCTAACTTTTATTCCCAATCAATAACATCCAATCCGTTGTAGCCCAATAAAATGGATTAAGTTTGTCATTCGGGTTCGACTCTTGGCAGCGGAAAAGTCTTTTATTATTTTCAATTTCTTTTATCTCTGAATTTATGCCTAATGATATATGCCTAGTAATTTTAATTTATATAAATTTTTTTCTCAGTCAATAACATCCAATCCGATGTAGCCCAATAAAATGGATTGGGTTTATCATCCGGGTTCGACTCCCGGCTGCGGAAAAGCCTTTCATTATTTTCAATTTCTTTTATCTCTTAATTTTATGCCTAATGATATATGGTAGTAACTTTCATTTATATAACCTTTATTCCCAATCAATAACATTCAATCCGCTGTAGCGCCCAATAAAATGGATTGAGTTTGTCATCCGGGTTTGACTCCCGGCAGCGGAAAAGTCTTTTATTATTTTCAATTTCTTTTATCTATGAATTTTATGCCTAATGATATATGCCAAGTAATTTTCATTTATAGAAATTTTATTCCCAGTCAATAACATCCAATCCGCTGTAGCCCAGTAAAATGGATTGAGTTTATCATCCGGGTTCAACTCCCGGCTGCGGAAAAAACTTTCACTATTTTCAATTTCTTTTATCTCTTAATTTTAGGCCTAAGGATATATGCCTAGTAATTTTCTTTTATATAACTTTTATTCCCAATCAATAACATCCAATCCGCTGTAGCCCAATAAATGGATTGAGTTTATCATCCGGGTTCGATTTCTGGCAGCGGAAAAGTCTTTTATTATTTTCAATTTCTTTTATCTCCGAATTTTATGCCTAATGATACATGCCTAGTAATTTTCATTTATATAAATTTTATTCCCAGTCAATAACATCCTATCCGCTGTAGCCCAAAAAAATGGATTGAGTTTATCATCCGGGTTCGACTCCTGGCAGCGGAAAAATCGTTTATTATCTTCAATTTCTTTTATCTCTCAATTTTATGCCTAATGATATATGCCTAGTAATTTGCATTGATATAACTTTTATTTCCAATCTGTAACATCCAATCCGTTGTAGCCCAATTAAATGGGATGAGTTTATCGTCCGAGTTCGACTCCTGTCTATGGAAAAATCTTTTATTATTTTCAATTTCTTTTATCTCTTAATTTTATGCCTAGTAATTTTTATTTATATAAATTTTATTCCCAATCAATAACATCCAATCTGCTGTAGCCCAATAAAATGGATTGAGTTTATCGTTCAGGTTCAACTCCCGATAGCGTAAAAACCTTTTACTATTTTCAATTTCTTTTTTCTCTTCGACTCCCGGCTGTGGAAATCCTTTTATTATCTTCAATTTCTTTTATCTCTTAATATTATGCCTAATGATATATGCCTAGTAAGTTTCATTGATATAACTTATATTCCCAAACAATAACATCTCATCCGTTGTAGCCCAATAAAATGGATTGAGTTTATCATCTGGGTTCAACTCCCAACAGTGGAAAACCCTTTTTAATTTTGAATTTCTTTCATTTCTTAAGTTTATGCCTAATGATATATTCCTAGTAATTTTGATTTATAGAACTTTTATTCCCCATCAATAACATCGAATCTGCTATAGCCCAATATAATGGTTTGAGTTTATCATTCGAGTTTGACTCTTGGCAGCAAAAAAACCACCTATTTTTTTCAATTTCTTTTATCTCTTAATTTTTTGCCTATCTCTTTGTGAACGTTTTTAATCTCTCATTTGTGAGAGTTTTTCATCTCCATTATGGTTTGATTTTTTCAAGCTTTATATCATTTTGATTATTCTGAATTTGCAATCTTAATTGGATGCCTATGTCAGAGTTTCTTCGATCCTGCGTGATCGTTAGTGGAGACGCACTAGATTGTCTTAATTTTGATGTTAGATTGCTCCGTTATTGTAATGGTTCTTTGTGACTAGTTTGTATTTGCCCTTTGTGGCTAGTGGCTTTTTAACTGAATTACGAATGCAATCACATAATTTCTCTCTCTCTCTCTCTCTCTCTCTCTCTCTCTCTCTCTACCATTTCTTCTTCCCCCCACCCCCGCACCCACCAACCCACAACCCCCCACCCAC